TCAGGTCAGTCGTCTGCTCTGAAGTGTAATACGTCACTCCGACGACTTCGTGTTCGGCGGTGGAAAATGTTTATATGTTAGTGATGGTCTAAGAGTCGACACTATGGACACACCCGGAGCTGTCTCCGCGATAGAATTTCACAGGACGTGACTTAATATTGGAGACGAGAAGTGTATTAACAGCGGCTGAACATTTGCGATGGATGAAGGTTTGACATAGCGTAAAAACTGCGCTTAGTTTGTTCATGCTGCTGCAGGAAACCATGGGAAGGGCAAATGAGTGTGGTGATGTTGTAACGTCTTCCGCAAGAAATAAACTGTTCTTGGCTTCAGAAGCATGAAATGGCTGAGCTTCACAAAATATTTCAAATGCCATTTCAGCGAGAGCACAGTCTATGACGGCCTTCTAGTGCAGAGAAAGTCCCAGCCTAATACCTCTGTCACACGGCCACCACCGAACTCCGTTGAACACCATCTACGCAAATCTCCCCTAGGGGGTTTGATGGAGAAGGAGTTGTGGCAGTGTCACATGGCATTGACAAGGCTGTAACAGTCCGCGAGGGGGCTCAGCTGGTGATTTTCGGAAAAGTATTCTAATTTCATCTCTCATAATTTTTTGTGAATCCTCGTTATACGGTTTTTACTAAAACACTATTAAGTAGGTACGCGACTAACAAACCATTAAATATAATTTCAAATAAAAACGCATTTGCTAAATGCAGCGATGCTGCTAGTGACGCTGGCGACATTGTGCTTTTAGTTGTTTTTTTGCTTGTGTACATGGCCGGTAAGATAGTTGTTTTACTTCCTTGCCTCGTGAGCGCACATTTTGTGTTCTTCAGCCATGAGTGACACAGCGGACGACGTGAGGAAGTGGTACGATATTGCGCTGGTAATGACGTTGATCGGCTGGCGCGAGCCGGCCCGACTCGCGAGGCACGGTGTGTAGGGCATCGGTGTTGAGAGTAAGTGAACTCTGGCGGGCGTAAATATATGTAAACAAACACGCGTTGCAAAAAAAGTACTACAACGAAAGAACGTTTAATATTGCCAAAATGTATTATTTTTTCACTGTGGCCACCTTAGCGCTTGAAATTTTTCTCTGACCTCTATACTGCTGGGGTCGAGAGTACCTCGTTTCGCTGCGAAGGGAGATCGTTGAACGTCCTTTGCGAAATGCTCCGTTTGCCTTCATTTGCGTAAGGGTGGCCGTGTGACACGGACCGCATCTTCGTGGTCGTAAGGACGAAGGAGTTAAACGGTCTTCGCGGGTGCCCGTTTGACAGGGGTATAAGATGAGGTCGTGGGAACAACAATGCATAATTTAATGACCAAGAGAACATCGTGAATGAAGACGCATGCTGAAAATGCAATGGCCGACATGGTATATTCTACGCTGGTGGCATCAAGCTTTGTTCATCAGTGGCGTCACAACTTTTGCGAGCAACCAGTACAATTCAGCATTATTAAATGTAACCGCGGCAACTGTATCAAAAAAGGTGTTGAGCGACACCGTCAGCATACACCTCGGTAGCGTTTGTCTGTGAAAGGAGATGTCTTGGCTTCTTGGAGGGTGACGCAGTTGCTGCGTATGGAACTGCCGCAATTGGTTTTCTTACTCTGACGTAGTGTAACAATGGCGCATCGCTGATGACGAGCGGCAGTTGGCAGGAGGGCCATAATTCGTATAACAACATATCTCCCCAGCGAGCACTCACATGTCGAGAGTGATGTCGAGAGCGAATTCATACGGGTCAGCTTCGAAGTTCAGGTGATAAGGACGTACTCCACGCCGGCTATATTACGCGACGAGGCCTGACAGCCCAAGCTAAGTGTATACGTACTGTGTGGTTCTCAGAAGTTCACCATTGTCCGCATTTACAAGTACTTTTAAACGATCCGCATTTATAGCACTTTTTGACCTAGATGCATCTTGTTGACGCCGATTCTAACATCTGCTTTCATATGCATAACGCTTAACTACATGATACAACATGACGCAAAGAGATACTAAATGGCAAAACGACTTTTCACGCATTAGTGAAGCACAATTTCACAATCCCAAAAACGCCACTGTTACCGCGACACGATGCTATGTAGGTCTGAAAACCCGCAAAAAGAAAATGCTGGATTGACCTTGAGATTCCCGCACCGAACACCATGACGCAAGAAAATTTGAAGGTGTCTACTGCGCACGTTCTAGCTTCCAATTGTCGAGAACGAAGTAAATTGTAACGGGTGCATGCCCTTGACTAAGCGTACGATGTTTCAGAAAATGATTTAGCGTGTGCCATGAAACTACCAGAAATGCATTTTCTAATTTCTGATGTTGTATATGCAGGTCATTGCACAAAATTTAAAATTAAACTTTGACCTTCAGTTTTTCAATAATAATAAAATATTGACTGTCAAATATATCAGATTAGAGAACTCATTGGTTATATTTAGTGTTCCTTTAATCGTAGTGGTAGCTGAAATAGTTAAGGTATGCCCGGATACCGCGCTTGCTGAATCCTGCAGAAGATGACACAATAAAGCACATAGCACTGGTGCTTGTTACGTGCTCTTTCAAAGCGTTTTTAATTGCGGAGACAAACGCAAAGGTGTCGCAACCCATTCATTGGGTAACCAACGCCTGTACTCGTGTATAAAGCATACATCATTTTAGAAAGCCAGAGGAAACGCTCATAGGTATCAACGTGAACGCGGAAAGGCGTTCTGCTTCGGCTACACTGGAAGCTGAGACTACCGTAGCATTCACTGTAGGTGCTCGTTAGTGTTATGAGGGCGGCTTCAAGTATGGATTCATTCATGCGTTGTTGCTAAACTCAGCCTTTTCAATCGCACGAAGAGAGCATAAACAGTGCGAGTGGTGTCTTACCGCTAGCCTGGTCGTGACTTCCCACACTGGTGAGCGAAGAAATATAGGTTTATTGGCGGAGCTAATCTTGGAGGTCACGGTCATGAAGCCGTGCTTCACCGATCTCAGACGGTGACACGACATTCATGGACCACCATCATTGTGAAAGAAAGAAGGTGTGGGAGATATATACGGCGTGTTTGTAGTGTCACAAGCAGTAACGTCAGTGGCGCTATGATTACAAAGCTCGGCCCCTATCCTCGCGGAACGAGAAGTGGCGGGTACAACGTTGGGCTGTAAACAACAGCTTAGAGCCAAAGATCACGAATACATGCAACGGGCGAATCCGAAATAACGGGAAATTAAGGGTGGCTGCGAAATGACCCAGACGAATTGAAAGGCCTACCCTTACGACTATGCACCAGAACATTTTGGAAATGAGAATGCTTCGTTTGAGCACAAGCTTCTGTCTCTGAAAATTTGATATCAACGTTGTGTCAGTGACATGTGGTTTAACTCGAACCTCTCTGCGCTGATAATCGCCATATAAACAGTCTGGTATCTAAGTAATGCCCAGAACAATGTCCCAGGAAAACCCAGAAACAACCATTCTCACCTAGCCAAGGTCTCGGAACAATCTAGAAGGAAGCGAATTGTATTTTCAGAATCGTTCAGTTTCGCATTGTGCGGCTTAGTGTGAGATACGCCATTTTACACGTTTTGATTATTCTCTCTCTTTTATATTTCAGTGGCGTCTACCTGTCACACACACAAAAAAACGCCAGTTCAATCTTAGTGCATTCTATCAGACTGCATGGAGTCGTGTTAACGCATGTAAGACTGCTTGAACGAAACGCCAAACTCCGTCATAGGCCACAAGATCTGCATTGCACCACAACAATCAGTTGTCCAGAGGAAATCTGTATTAAAGCTTGCAGACAGAGACAAACCGCTCAGCTAATAAATTGTCGACAACTTCATGACGAGAATATATATATATATATATATATATATATATATATATATATAGTTAAATACTTTTAAATTAGTGAATTACGGTGCAGTGGGTACTTCTTAGCTGTAACGGCTGAAGACGTTCTAGGTTAGTTTAAAACAGATGTGTTGCTTCTCTTGCGACTTGGTAGTGGACCGTAGAATGGCTGATGAATGTGAAGACAATGCTAATGGAGTCCGATTACGCTGTCGCCTCGTACTCCAGAAGGCAATGCAAGTTACGTTCAGCACAAGCATTCCCTGCACCCCCTAATCGCTCCATATGCGGTTCAGTAGCACGTTTCCTGTCTTTCATCAAAACACGTTGTGGCGTTTAATAAATATGTGTTGTTGAAGGTGCACCGTCGTTCATATATGTGCAAGCAGAGCTTTGTGTAAGTTGGACTCATCCTTGTCACCTCCTCAAAGCCTAACTCATACAAATTATCCTAGTACTCCGAGTCTCTCTCTTCCAAAGTCCTAGTCATAATTTTCGTTAATGTGAATCGTACGTTATGCTACGGCGCACATTATGTGAGTTCTGGTTGGCCCATCTTCATTTTGTTGATTTGCGGGAAAAAAAGCCTAGAATATTGTGGTTGTTGTAACCACTCTATGCATACCTCTGTACACGCGTTGGTATCAGTGACGCGGCATTACCTTTAGAGTTTCGTGTGTTGGCGTGAAATCTTCACGTCAATATGGACCTGCTAAAATATTTTGACGCTTGGGCCGAGGTGCTAATAATGATCGATATGTGGGGCTTAACGTCCAAAAGCCACCATATGATTATGAGAGACTCCGTACTGGAGGGCTCCGAAAATTTCAACCACCTGGGGTTTTTTAACGTGCATCCAAGACGGAGCACACGAGCCTACAACATATCTGCCTTCATTCAAAATGCAGTCGCCGCAGCTGGGATTCGATCCCGCGACCTGTGGGTCAGCAGCCAAGTACTTTAGTCACTAGACCACCGCGGTGGGGCGCCGAGCAGGTAATACTCGGCAGAACTAGGATACAAAGTAGGACAGTAGGATGTTACAAGGAGTTGCAGACACAAACGTTCATAAAACACCACAGTTTCTGTGACAAACAACAATGCAAGTTGCTTCCAGCAAGTGTAAGTAATTTTTTTGGCTAATCTCACCTTGTAGCGAAATGAGGCGGAGGTATCGAATGTGAACAACATGTTTTCGGTCCTGTTGTACAGATACTCAGCCTGGAAGATGTCGTCATAGTCGAAAGGCCTCTTGTTTGCACATCCCTGTTGGCAGACGGGAAAGGAATTTGTCACTTGCAAAAATGGTCGAAAAGAACGACGTTAGCTGTTTAGTAGAGCATGTTCGAAAACGCTGTCCATATGCCTCCAATATATATCAAGGCGTGCCTTGCGCACGCTTCTGACGCAGTTGGACGATATTTCTCTGTGCTTTTTTTTCGATGACCTTCCCAATTAAACACGCGCTCTTCAGACCCTATTCGGTATCGCTTACCCTCGACATCTTGGCATTTTAAAGTACACCGCATGCTTGTCTGCCGGATTGTAACTGCTTTCATGTTTGCGTTCCAGTCATAGGTGTTCAGGAGCAGGCGTGCGCCGCTATCGTCGGCAACCCTTTGCGGTGGGTGGATGGGGCGACCATCAGCCGTTATCGAAGTTTAAAGCCCTTTCGTTTGTTCGTGTCTGAAGTGGCCACCGATTTGCATCACACTGCCCCTACTTTGCATATATTTTGGTTTTTTCTCTTTTTCTTTTTCCCCTATCTTCTGAGAACACTTCGAAGCACTACCGCCTAACTTGAAATGAAGCGATGACTGCACTTCTCTGCTTTATAGTTTTCTTTCAGACGGCAAGTATAAACAGGGGCGCGCACCAGCATTAGGAGATGACGTCACTACTAACCCCTTTAAAACTAACAGGCGAAGGATGGCACGGCGTCTTTGACAAAGATAGGTCTTCCTATCAAAACTTCGGCCAGTCTGTCTGAGGCATTTGCACGGTCCACCATGATTATCCCTCTCTACTGTCCTATGGAAATAAATATAGACAATGTTGGCCGCATAGGTACACAACACTTGATTAGGAAGTACTTGTTCTGTTTCAAAACACGTACAACTGAAGCTAAGCATTGTGAGAAATACTACACTTCAGTGCTCAGCCAAGTGTCCTCTTTGCTGCGAACAACAAATCGCATATAAATAAATATTGTTTACCCTTGCCCATGCAGTCTTGTGCTGGAGTTTAAGCCTAAAACTCAAATGATTCGATATTACGGGTGAAAACGGTGTCGGAAAAATAATTTAGGGGTAGACACGCAGCCAGACGGCACGTCCAGATAGTGTACGGCTCTTTCCTTGTGTCGCAGCGCCCCCAGCGCAACCGCGGCTGGCGCATGTACTACAGAAGACAGTGATTGAATACGTATTGGATCCTGGGGAGGCGATGACCTCCTAAAGCGCCTTATCTGCGGGCCACACTCATGACGGGCTCGGCAGCTTAAGCGCGATGGCTAGGTCATAAGCCCTCTGAATGGCTCGAAGTTGGTCATCGTTGAGGGGACTCGTAGCTGCTTGCGTAGAGCTCGTAAAGGCGTTGCGTCGTCAAAACTCAGCGTTAGAACTATAATCTTTTTTTAATTGGGAGCATTTTATAGTGGCACCAACTCGTAGATCCAGCGTCGTCGACCCCACCACACATGCTCGCGTTTCGCGTCTCGTGCCGCATGCTCGCGTCTGGTGTCACGTATCTCAAGAACAGCGGTATGCGTTCTTAGCTCTGGTCGCTGGGGTGCACCATTTATAAATAAAATACCATGAGGTGAAAAAAACACACGTTAGCCGCATCGCACTTGGTTTTTTAAAGTGGCCTTGCGGCACTTTTACGACAAATTTATCACCGGAAAACGTGTAGTAATGATTGCTGAGGCGAATCCAACAAGAACCATGCCAATCGAAGTTCAGAACTTCAGCAAACAATTACGAGAAACGTTTCCTTTTGTATTTCACTAGCCTGCTAACGTCAAAAGCCGCTTCTAATTACTGCACGCGTCTCATGAAAGCACACCGGAAATGTCCCCTCAGGGTGTGCTTCACATGGTACCTCGCTTCAGCTTTTTTTGACAGCGTCGTTAGCATGGTTACCACGAAGGTCGTGCATCAATTAGCCGACACATCTACGGTCCCAGTGCGTAAGATACACTAATACAATTTCGGCGGGGACTATTCTCGGCCTGCATGAAAGACGGCGTCCGCCGCATGTCACATTTCTTGGCTCGCTCAAAAACGCCAGGCCTACGTGGAAGGCGTATCACAGTCACAGCGAAAGCTAAAAGAGCGGCCTTTCAGAGCATTTTCCAAGCACTAATTGGGTAACTTCGGCAAGCCCACTTGCAAAGTACCTACTATGGCATCAGTTGTAATGATTATTTCTGGCTAGTAGACAAGCGTTTGCTATGTTATGTTTAGTCATTCTTTTGAGAAGCGTTGTATTTGCAAGGAATTTAGTACCGATTTTTAGTGCAGTGGCTGACGACCATAAGGACTCACGCCTAAACTGGGTGTGCACCACATTTAATAGTTGATCAAAAACAACCTTTCGTATTGGGTTTGAGCATTCGACTACCCACTCGTAACGCTATTCGTATCGTGTGACGCCTAGTTGTTGTTTCGCTGCTCTAAAGTGCTTCATTACTCATACTAACGCGATTACTTTCCCGACATCGAGCCTACATAAAGCAAAGTTGCGAGAAGTTCCAAGCACTGGCGTGGCTCAGTGTTGGACCATTGGGCTGGCCCACACAGGACTCGGGTTCGAGCCCCACTGTGTCCTTGGTGCTAGGTTTTCTTTTTGTCATTTCACGACAGTGGTTACACACACCGGCGGTGGTGGCAGCGGCGGTGCACCAGTATGGCGCCGCGCGTGACCCAAGTTTCGATCTCATAACAGTTTTCGCTGTAAAACGTGGCATGCGTATTCACCACTAGTTGCTAGCGCGTTCGCTGAACAAATGTTGTGTTCGTTGTTTTGAAATACATCATTTAGAATGAGAATTCATTTCTTTCTTAGAAAGTGTAAAAAGAGTTTTTGCTGTTATTATTATTCACTCGTATAGCCTAGCTACCACCATGTAAATCTTGTATGCTATTTGTCGCGTCAAACCAATCAATAGCTAACTGTCCTTGACGTGGCGTCACATGTCATCACTTGCTATACAAATATTGCCTATTTGTGTCACCGTACTTCAAAATGAAGGTGGTATGTAACATGAATAAAAAATGATACCAGCTATGCTTTCAGCACTGCCACTTGCGCAAGGTTATCTGCCCATTTCACAGTACAAGAAGATTCGGTGAAGAACACTTGTCTAATTTCTGCAAAGAGGCCCTGCAACGCTTTTTGAGCATGTTAAGAAAACGCTTCCTGATTGGTACTTCAGGCCCACGAAAACAGGCGAGCCAAAAATTATCACGCAGCACGCAGCCAGGAATTCAAAATAAATTACCGGAGTCAGTTAAAAAATGCTCTCCCTTTTTTCGACAAAAGTCGAAAAACACTAAAATCACTCGTGGAAGGCAACCTATCAGCCATTGGCTGATTTGAACATAGCGTGCTTGGTCTTTACAGGAATCGACCCGGGAGGCCGCGGCTTGTCAACGCGTGCGTTTAGCGAAGGTTTAGCGAGCTTGAGCCGCAGTGTTATGAATACAGTGAACTAGTATATACCATGAACACGAGGTAGTTAACGGTGGGAAGTAGACACGAAGAGCAAGCCGTAAGAAAGAGTGCGTGTGCCACCTCTCGTTTAGTCCTTGGAATGTCCGATGGATGGCGGTGATTATATATGCGGAATATATGATAAAAGATGCGAGATGGTGGTACTTATAGTGTTGACTAGGTGGACGAACGGACACGCAGACAGATGCATGGACGGACACATGTATGGCTGCACGGACGGATGAATGCATGGACAGACGCACGGGCGGATGCATGGACGAACGCAGGGATGGACGTAAGATGGACGTGTGGACGCACGAACAGATGCACTCACGGATGGGCGGATGGACGCATGGACGGTAACACAGACGAACGAATGGACGATTGAAATCATGAATGAATGGAGGGACGGATGCTTCGCCCCACTCTCCATCATTCACCCCGTGGATATGGTGGCATTTTTTGTGTTATAATCACGGATTTTTTTCTTTTTTTAGGCTAATATCACGCCCATTTGTGATGAACCTAATGTTCATGAACTGCCGTTACAACATTATGCCTTTGTCCTGTGTGTCATGGCGCACATAACATACATGACATGATTTCGTGTTATGAACTGTCATGTATATTTTCTTTATGCTCGTATCATACCATGTCCGTATTGGTATACAAGAAGCTCACAAAACGGCCCTTTTAGCTTCCTGACCATGTCTCCCAAGTCATAGTGTATATCAAAAACATGTAATGAGTTTTACGTAATTAGTCGTCCTTTACGTTTTTCATATGGTTTCGTCATGACATGTCAAATTAAGTACTCGTCAACATTATTCATCGGCTCGGCCACGAGAGCACGAAAACCTACAGAGCCAGTGATATACAGACCCATAGATACGCTCTAAACGCCCTTATTTCACTGTCATATGGTTCATGCGTAACTTAGTGGTTAATTTATTTGCCGCCAATAGTATATGTGAAAGCCTTATCACCAGGAAGGATAAACTGAGCCAAATTTGCGCGCATTTCGCTGAAAGCGATTCCTCTCTGCGTGCCAGGCTATGCCAGTGAACGCGAATGTTTTAACCATTATGGAGTCGATAAAAGCAATGTCTCAACCATGTTCTGGAAAAGCACGTCGAGACACCCGATAAACCTCCATGTCGCAGTGCCCCCCCCCCCCCTTCCCCGCACGAAACTGCGGCCGGTGCATGTACTAAAGCCGGACATTGTCTGGACACTCCGTCGCCGTGGGCGGGAAATGCCAACACCTAAATAATTTTTTTTGTACAGTGCTACTGATACAAAGAAGCAGTGTGGTATAATTAGGGTGATACTGATGCCCCACAGCTAAGCCACAGCAATGTCATTCTCTATCGACTAGGTAACCGATTTTTGATAAAGTTGATGATGGTGTTTTCACTTGGCGCAAGGAACATCGCGACTAAAGAAGACGAAACGAAAAGTTTAAATAAAGTTATTTTGTGGTGTTAATGAAGACAATGTGCTCGAATCACGGCGAATTTCAGTGCCACATACAAATGGCTGATGCTACGTATCTGCCTATCAGAAAAATTCTATAGGGACAAAAAACAGCGAGCGAGTTTAGCGTACTTGTGAAATACCATTTCGCAATCCCGAAAACACCCCCCTTCCCACGACACGATGCATTGTAAAAAAAGAAAACGCGCGAAAAGGAAATGCGAGTGGAGACGCCATCTTGAGATTTCCGCCCCAAGCACGTCAAGTCTAAAATTTTGAAATTTTCTACTAGGTCTTACACAGCTTTTCATAAAAAAAACATTGTAGTACATTGTCCTCTAGTGGGTCTTATACATCTCGCATTCGACGAAGTTTCAGGGTGTTTCATCAAGCCAATGCCATAAAAAACAGAAAAAAAACTGCTTTACGACAATTTTGACATCCCGCCATGAATTTGGCCCAAAATTGAAAAATGAGACTTCAACCTTTATGCTATACAGTCTACTGTCCTATGGTAGTGAAAGACATGCCATTAAAGTTCTCACTGTGCAATTTAATAAAGAAAAGAAAGTCGTTGTTTTTCTTTAGTGCCCCTTGAAAAGTTGTGCAACATATAAAAACCTTACTTCAGCAATGCCCGTTATTTGGCGTCCGTTAGGACCACCTCCTCGGGAGCTCGTCGTGCATGGCTGACCAAGAGAGCCATTTCCGGGAGTGTCCGGAAGGTTGTCCGGATACGTGGGAGTGTACCAACGGCCACCCATGCCAAAGGACACTGCTAACGCACTGGTAGCCGCGTGCTCCTTCTTGAGTTTCACCATAGCTGATACAACTCTAACCTGGTTTGAAAAAAAAAAAGGTACGTCGTAAGAGAGCTCATATTTTGGTTAATCATTGGCTTTTGTTTTATTGGCGCCTTGGTTTTTTCAGTCACGAGAGGAATTGATTTCACGGAGAACGTGCGCAGCTACTATGTAGAACTTTTTTGTAAAATCAAAGCTGCAGAGAGCGTTACAACAGAAGGCGACAACAGTACCACAAGCACGAACATTTGTAAAGTGAGGTTTCTTCTCATAGCCTCAAAGGCCTGCGAGAGTTGACCAGAAAACATAGTTTTTGAAAATTGAAATGAATCTTTTAGGGCACAATAGTCAAGCAAAGCTCTTGAGCCCCAATGTGCCCTAAACTAAATCGGGTGCGCAGAGTGGAATAAAATAGTTAAAAATATTGAAACACACATGTTTTGACATTGTTTCGATAGTGTACACAGGCGAAATTCGTTTGGACCATTCCATCGGTACTTTCCAGTAGTGTTTGGTCAACACATGTCAATTGAACCGATTGAATACGTTCGCTTAGTCATGCATCACCGACTTCACTCTGTCTTTTCACAATGTGGACAAAACCAATGTTTTAGCCTTTTCTTTCAGACTTTTTTGGAACAATTTTTCGCATGTGCTTGACAGATTTTCTTGAAATTTTACTCTGGGGTCCCATACCGTCGTGATTCCTTGAACAGCACGAGGCGAGGAAGCTGAAGTACAACAAAAAAAACAGTTCAGGGCAAGAGAGAGATACGTGCGTGGGAGATGTTTGTTGAAACCTAACAAGACACGAGGCCAGAACCACCTAACAAACAATAAATAACACATTAAAAAGATGAATGACACACATGTCCGTACTTTGGAGAGCGGAGTTCAAAATCATGTTTTTTGGCTGCCCAGAGAACCAACCCCGTAATAGTAGGACTCAGCATTACTTTCCGTCATGAAAGCGACCTGTCGTGTGCTAGGGCACATGTCTTCAGGCTTTTAAGAATAAAGTTTTCCCAAACCAAGCCAGGAAAATTATCTTCATAATGCAGACATGCGTGGCTTGTACCTACGACAGAAAAAAAAACATAGCAGTGCAGTGTTGCTTTTCCCTGCGCAGTTAGCAGAACTTGCGTTCTTCCCATCTGTTCTATACTTTGATCAAAGAAACATTCACTGTGGATTCATTCGAATCCTGAGTGTCTTTCTTCTACGCATGACTGAGAAGGGCAGGGCAGGAGCACAGCCCGACTGCGAAGACTCGAACTCAAAGGTGTGTCCTTCTGGCAGGATCTAATCTTGAAGAGGCTATTTTTCCCCGGCAGTGAACACTTTATTATGTCAGTCACACACATAACAAATTCCCTGGGCACTGCACATTTTGAACTCAGTTTGCAGACACTCCCGTGTTGGTGTCAGCGTTGGTGTATGCGTCGGCGTTGCTCGTTTTGAGTGAAAAGTTATCAAGTTATCCGTGACCGGAAAACACATATGCATGCAATGACAAATAAATATTTTATCTGCGTCTTCATGTGAGCATCTAAACCGGGCCGCTTGCGTGGCAAGCAGTTAATCGGCCAGATAGCCGTGCATGTGATCGAAAACGCAGTTCAAAAAATTGCTCTTGTTAAAAAATTGGGCGTAAGCATCGCCTCTTAGAGTTGAACGCGATAGCGAAACCCGGCCCCTAGTGCACCCTTCGATTGCTAAGTGCTTACTTATTCATATGTTTTGTTACATACACGTACACGCAAGCACACAAACGCGCACAGAGTAGATTGGACCAGCGCGAGCTATTATCGTCGAATGGGCTTGTTTTCGTCGTGACACCTGTCGAACAAATTGCGATAAAGGAGTCTTAAAAAACTTTTATTAACCATTCAATGAATTCACTAGAAGAGCTTATTGCCTCACAAATTCAGAGCCGAAACATTTTTAGGAATCCGTTCAGTGCGAGTGGAGTTTCTAAAGTTTGTCGCATGCTGCAATTGCATTATCTCTTCTGTCGCCATGACAAAATCGCTGAAAGCTAAGCAGGGAGAGGTGGCAGGACAAAGAAACTACCGCACCTCTTGACCTTGAGCACTTTTTTCTTCAAATGAGCGGCTTTTCAGTGTGATCACAGGCACGCGTGGACAAGTAGCGGCATCCCGCGGCTATCTCGGTATCTCGATTTTTCGGTCACAGATGCACAGGCGATTTTTCGCTCACAACCAGCGGAACCGACGCCGGCGGTGTGTTTTCTGTGACACAAGCTCTTTAACGCCTCATGTTAAAATGAAGAAAAAATAACGTTCAGTCTTTACGAACACACGCATCCTGTATATAGGCTTCCCAATAGTACAAGTAAGATCGCAGTAATAGTGCTTGGTACAAGCGCACTTCACCATTGTACGTCATGACATGTGATTGTTATAACGACTTCGTGGTGTAAACACAGGTTACAAAGGACATCCACGTTACTGTGCGTACGGCCATAAGGTCACCTAATGGATGAATAACATTTCAAGGGCTTGATTTTTTGTTGTTTTAGGTATGCTACCTATTCTACACTTCAAAATTTAGGCATATGCGAAAGCATCACTCACACTAGCCTTTTCGACTTTATCGAATACATAGGAGTAGTGCACGATTAAAACTGCTCGAGTGACATTATCCAACAAGAAGTATGCACTGAGTGGTTGAAGTGCGCACAATATAGGGACGAGATATCGCTATCGCGTTCAGCTCTAAAGGCGACTCTTTCAACTAGTATTGTTTCCAACTTGTTTTGTTCATCACTTTCTTTCACCAGCCGACTGTTCATGGTTTCGCATTCGCGAACCACTTGCGCCATGTCAGCACATCGGCAGACACGGTATAGGGCGCGTCGCTCCTCACTGATGATAGTGGCTGTTTTTCGGGAGTCGTTAAAACTGCAGGATTAAATTGAGCAAGTAAGGTAAATTGAATAAAAGCCACAACCCCCCCCCCCCCCACCATCGAAACTGAAACGTGAAGCTATTTGTGTAATATATAGTGAATAATCATATTTAGGGCATCATGCCTGAATTTCCATATCAGCACTCCTGGGCCCATAATAACACTACTACACTCCTTAACGGAGCTTCAAGTTTACCTATCAACCCAAGCACACTGCGTCGTAACTTACCGTATAAAGGTATTCAGCAAAAATGTTTTCATTGATAAGTGCGTCAGGTCGTATTCAATTAGGCTCAGTGACAAAGAATTAATGTATCGAAGTAGACAGACAGACAGACAGACAGACAGACAGACAGACAGACAGACAGACAGACAGACAGACAGACAGACAGACAGACAGACAGACAGACAGACAGATAGATAGATAGATAGATAGATAGATAGATAGATAGATAGATAGATAGATAGATAGATAGATAGATAGATAGATAGATAGATAGATAGATAGATAGATAGATAGATAGATAGATAGATAGGCAACATACCAAACGAACGGGATACGAGGTGTTCAGAAGAGAGGGCTCTAGTAGCTGTTCACTGTGAAGTACTGGAGGCACCATGCGGCAGTCTTTTGTTCCGTAGTCAGTATAGGTTGTGTATCCGATGGCCACGAGCATATCGACGGGATAGCTTCTGCAAATCGAGAAATATATACTCCTGTCCGCATATGTTAGAACTTCAGGGAACTTTACGATTTCTGTTAAAATGAACGCTAGCTTTTAAAATGATCTCTGTAACCATATGTGGTGCACATACAAATTAAATGAAAGTAGAAGCTCATCAAACGTCATCATCACATAAAGCGTCCGTTGTGCTCCTCTGTAGAACAAGTGAGCGCAGGTACCATCTTGATAGATGGTACCTGCACCTCCCGCCAAGGACTCCCGCCAAGCTATCAGCTGGCGGGTGTCCTTATAGCTGCGACTCCCGCCAAGCTATCAGGTACCATCTTTATAGAATATTTCCCGTTTCTACACAATATAGTGTCTCACTGCCTCCCATTTTTTTCGATTTACAGCCTAAGCGATAAAGCAATTCGAGAGATGTTAATAAATTACCGTTGACAGTGTGAACACAATACGCTGGCCTTGGAAGTGAGCGCAAAAGGCCCAGGTAGGCAGGCGCCATCCCGCGAGTCTTACCATTGGGTGAATAATGATATAAAGTAACACTTTCTATGCATTCCACCTGATCGGCTCCAGTATTACCATCTTCTATTCAAGCACCAGGAAAGGATGTTGCATAATTTCTGAACACAATGTAGCCTTGAAAACACCTTTTTTATGTCATGAAGGGATGTTTAGGAGACAGACAAATTCTTTGTACCAGTAAATCAAAATTTGACGACACAAAAAGTAGCATCGTCTTTCATGAAGACGCTAAGATAACGAGAAAACGCAGAAATATAAAACGGAGGTGGCGACGCCACTTTTGAGCTCCCTCACTAGCCGCTGCAAAACCAGGCATATTGAAAGCCTCTGTCAGGACCTACGTAATTGTTTGTCGCTAAAGATGCTTCATGCTGAGTTGTACGGATCACATTGTTCAAGATAACGAGTTACCAAAGCTCCATCAAACGAATGCGGGGAAAATGCGCATAAAGTCTTCAAATGTAGTGACGCCACACTGACGCCCACATGCTGTACTTACGGTGAATTTTACAGGGATCGTTGTCGCCTTCTCGTTTAGTAAGTATCATATGATGGCGACATCATTGAGAATGCAGTGTAAAATACATTCTTTCCTAGAAATTGATTGAAAATACACTTGAGCTTCCGTTCAAATGAAAGTTCTCCTGAATAAACTTATTACAGCATTCTTTATCTGTACAAAACACAGAACAAAAAGACACAGTCTTCGTTTTGCTTGTTCTTCGTTTTGTGTGCTCGAAAGAAAAGTACAACGTGAATACACACCTGCTCACCAAGCTATCAGTTTTCTTGATTGAAAGTGACGATAATTTATAAGTTTATCGATAGTGTGTGAAAATGAAGTGGAGGAAGCTGTACTGTATGTGACGTGACACTGAAAAATGTGTGGCTTAGCTTGGTTACACCCGGCTATTCAAACCAAAGTTGTTTACTTGGTTATGCTTGTTCACTCTCATTTATGCGTCGGTATATTTACATTGACCAATCATAAGCAAGGAAGTACAGACTCTTGAAGGATGACGAGATTGATAGGGCTGCTCTTGCTACACAGACCAAATTGTGTTAGCACGAGTTATTTCATAGAGTAACAGCAATCCATGATTGAGCCCTAAATTTTCTTCCTCTAACTATTTTTGTAGTGTTAAACCAGGAGCTATGAAGTAAGTTCTCGATCATAGTAAATAAGCGGCACCACCTTGTAATAAGAGTACAAGTCGTGCATGAACAAATAGCAGCACTACCATTACTGGTATTCCTGATTGTATACAGTTAAGACGTAGTATCTAGGTAAAACAGAAGTAGCAATATTTTACCTATTTTAAACAGACTCTAAAGATTACAAATAATATCTGAAATAGAACGTAATGCTCATTCAAAAATCAATCATATTTCCACCCAAATTATCTTGGCAAAATCAGTGCATAACTGTGAAACAATTCACATTACAATAAAGAAGTCCACTGGAATGACAACCTTTTTCGGCGTTAAAATATTCTTAAAAACGGAGCACCTAAGGCCGTTGGTTTTTTCCTCCTCCGCTGTTGTTGTTGTTGTAGTAGTAGAAGTAGTAGTAGTAGTAGTAGTAGTTAGTACTAGTACTAGTACTAGTAGTAGTAGTAGTAGTAGTAGTTAGTAGTAGTAGTAGTAGTAGTAGTAGTAGTAGCAGCAGCAGCAGTGTGTACTATAGTTTGAGATCCTCAATTGATGGCGTTGTGTGTATACGTCCTCAGGAAAAATATAACTAGATGGCGTTAGTGGTTTTCAGAGCATATCTACAGAGTGAATAATGATGAGTGGGGCTTCCGCACGTGTGTTCGTTAATGCTACCGTCCATCCGTCTTTCCGTCCGTCCATTCGTCCGCGTGCTATGCCGTGCGTCCGTCCATCTGTCTCTCCATCCGCGAGTCCATTCGTTCATGCGATCGTCTATTCATGCGTCCGTTCATCCGTACTTCCATTCAAGCTTCCATGTGGCCATGATTCGGTCCGTGCGTCTGTCTATACGTGCTTCCGTCCATCCATCTCTGCGTCGGTCCGTTCGTTCGTGCTTCCGTCTGTGCGTCCGCACTTCTACCCTTCCTCCCAAGCGTTCATTTCTGTACGTCCGTCTGGGCGCATGCACGGTTATCCCGATGCAGGCATAGATGAACGCACAAGATGGACACACAGACGAACGTACGCTTCGCCCCACGCATCATCATTCAATCTGTAGAGATGTTGCGTTTTTTTTGGGTGGGGGGGAGGCGGCATCACTACTTCCTACTGTTACTCGTGATATTATGATATTATGTGCTGATAATACTTATGTACTATCAGCGTCCAATCAAACCCGAACAGCAGCAAGACTTCACGATGCTTTAGTGCAGGCTATCCACTCATCACTACGAACAGGCCGCATATTTGCGGAAAGCTGCCGAACAGGGTGCGCGTGCCTGTCAATCGTGATAACTAAACGGCACGCACTACACTATCGCACAGGCTTGCCGCTGTTCAGGTTTCATTTGGCGCTGATAGTACAAGATGTGAATGCCTTCCACTGAATACTTTTTGTCTGCTCAATAATAGTATCTGTGATATTACAACTCCCGATATGTTACGTCCACTTATTAATATTATCTGCGGTATTACCAGTCCAAGCACGTGAGTACAAAAACTGACATCACATTTTTGACACTGCATTTTCGGGCAGGCCATGCATGTTAGAAACAGCACAGAGGGGCTTATGGTGGCACCCAGAGAGCCTCCGTTGACAAAGTGATTGTGGTCTTTCTAGTGCAAATGCTCAGGAATTTCTTGTTGCTTTAAGTATGTCGCCATTTAGAACGCCAGCGTGTTGTGCATCTACTGCCCGATGTAGCAAGCTGACGTAGCACTCGTTATTAGAGTTAAACAAAGCTTGCAGCGTCAGAAATAACTGAAAATTACTAAAAAAGGTTTAAAACAATATAAACTGCAGAAATAGCCAATAACCGATTGGCATTATAACTTATTATTGCGGAAAAGACTTTGGTTTGCCAGCGCCTCCCGCGAGACTGGTTGTGGACATCGAAAATTATGAGTTCGCTTTAAACAAAATTTACAAGATGAAGAAATTCTACCTCACAAAAAAGACGATGGAGCATACACTGACTGCTGACGCATGTTTTGTCGCGAAGCCGTTGATATTTAGGTTCACTAATAATTATGCCTCAAAAGCCAATTTTGTGAACTTTTCAAGTGTATATATCTTAATAAACATTTCGTTGCATAGACTGAAAATATTTTTAGCCGTTAATATATCAAATGCTAAAATACCGAAAGAAATTGCATGACTGAAAACTGCCTTCACTTTAAAAAAAATGTTTATTAGAGTGTTTTCTCGCATCTTTGATAACCCTGTTTAAGGCAGAAAAGAAATTTATTCTTGCTATACTAGTGATAACAAGTGAAAAAAAAAACTCAGAAGAGAATGCTTAAGAACGCCATTTGTTAGTATACTTAGTCTGAAGGTAAAATACAAATCATTTATTCCCCTTTACTTTTTATTTTCTCAAGAATATTCCAAAAATTTTTTGATGGAGGCAAAAATGCTGTAGGCTGGTGGGCTCAGATTTGGGTGCACATTAAAGAGCACCACTTGGGTAAAATTTCCCGAGCCCTCCCCTAACAACCTGTATTTTATAATCATATGGGGGGTTCGGGACGTTAAACACCACATATCAATAAAAATCAAAGTGTTGTCCCGTACCCGCAATTGTTTTTGTACAAATATACTTTGTTTAATGTCCCTCTTGCACAATCAACTTCCATCTCGGTCTTTTTCAGTGGAATCACTGGTGGTCGAATTTTGGGCTTGGACGTTTTACTTGGAATGGCCCAGATATAAGGCTTTCTCATGCTTAAGTGTGCGTCAAGTGAGTGATTACTACATTGAAGGTGAGCTATCGCCGTGTTTGAAGATAATGAAAAGCCTATGTTTGAGACAAGTGCCTCCGTTTTCATCTGCGAAGAACAATAGCTTGTCGGGCAACTTATCTAAGGAGGAGGAGGGAGAGAAGTGGCTATAGGTGAATGGCGTGTGTACCATAATGTAAAGCTACTGGTTAACTTCGTGCAGTTCACCGCTCAACAACTCTACTACAAGGCTCAAAAAAGCGCATAACAATTTTTACGAACACTCTTCACCAATACTTACTTCAGAGCCTGCGCGACGCCAGCGACCATCGACTCGTACATGAGTGGGTAGTGCAATATGACGTAGCTGGGCTTTCCGTCAGCGTCGGCTCTGTCCCTCACGAGTTCGGAAATCATCTGCAGTAAATAGAAGAAGAAAAATGATCGCTGCCTCAAACAACCACCAAGAGATGCGAGTAAATGATGCGTTTAGAGCACCACTCATACAACTTCTTAGTGGCTCGCTTCTAGTCGATCACGAGTCATTGTGTGTCATGTCCGTGGTATCGGTAATATTGATCCACAGTGATCGCTGGATATAAACACATGCGATTATTAGGTGCTGCTGCATCAGTGGCAGAGTCATTTCCGCTACGGGTATGGACTGATTTTTATGAAGATTTTGAACAAGTATTGCGATTCATTTAAAGCCTAATAAAATATGGTTAAACTTTGTTCTTTACGACGCACACCGTACTTTATGTTGGCAGCGCGTGCACAGAATAGCCTCATCGTAGTTTGGAAACAGCCTCTGCGCACAGTTGCACAGCGTTGGTGGAAACTTGCAGCTCATTAACCCACAATATATTAAAACTTTTGCTTTGGGATCATCAAACAATTACGGCACCAGACAGCTGTGTTGTTCAGCCAGATTAACCCATGTGTCTACAGCTAGTTTCAGAGTATTACCACTGATTTCCTCATTTTGGAAGTGGAACCTGCCCATTTATTAGCTGACACTCAATGCAAACAACTTAAAGAACTTTGCACGTGACCAGCGCACACTACGTCATCGTGCATCTTTTTATCGCCGTCCGCAACTATACTCCCGAAGCCTTCTGATGTGATTCCTAAATTTCTACATATTTGGATAGCATACGAGTGAATCCTTGCCGTCCCAAACATGCCGACAGGCTGCACATATACATTCGGTTGCTATCCTTCATGTAGATTAAATTCCAAAATGCTACGTAACAATAAGAGTACACAAGGTAATTGTTGCACTCGGTACGTAAAACTTCTTTTTGTGTGGTTTTTGCTTGAATAATACCATCACTCATGAGTAATGGCGGTCGGGTTCAGTCGTTTTCACTTTCTTGTTGGGGCCTTCGCCATATGTAAAAAACGTCATTATTTGAACACTAGCAGCATTAGTTCAGTTCTCAGCACTGCTTTTGTACAAGAGCTGCATAACAGAGTCATCCAACCTCAAGCTGCTAAGGACGTTTGTCCGATATCCGTGTCACTCTAATGGTCTTCCAATGCACGCTCAACTCATTCGCAATATTGATTTGAACGACTACTTCTCTGATATGGTCATGATCAGTCGCAATATTTGTGTGCCAATTTTCATGTAACATCTCAGCTGGACACTTAACACACGTGTAAGGGAAATATAAAAAAAACGTATTCTTTAAATGTTAACCCATCAGGGGGCACGCTCCATGTGGATAGTTTTGGTGCGTTACTCAGAAACGCAAAGCTTTCATTACGCCCATTTTGAATAGTTGATTTCACCTCGTAATTAGTCAATCTCAATAAAATCAATGTAATACGATCCACTTATAACTTGTTTTTTTATTCGTTTGCTTCATAAAGCTATTCCTGGTATCGCCATAGGCTACGAATTCACCGTAACTTTTGTTTGATATTCTGCCTCTCTGTGATGAAAAAAATAGCCATCAAGGCTGGGAAAAATTAAAGTACACACGTGACCTAACATGTGATCAGCATTATGGTGGGAATGCATACGCATGATCTAGTTAAAGCACCAACTCGGGTGTATCCGAAGTTTTGGCTGCCGCGTTAGGAAACTATGAAATCGTTTGCCTAATTCACTACCGGAGCCAGCCGCAAACACTCCATTCTAAGTGGATGACCAAAATACAATTCTAGAAAAATTTAAATGCGGCGCCAACCTTAAGACCCCTTGCTGACTGCGTGACGTATTCGAGAGGCTTGTCACTCGCTTGCATTACTGGCGTGTTGACTTGCCCGTAGTGGTGAATCCGCTTGGACCACATGTCATCTAATGTTGTCTTGGTTGTCGGATTGGCAACAAGTTCACTCATGAGGTTCTGGTTCCTGCAGAAACTGCAAAATCATCGGGTGTGAGACTATCATGGTCATTTTTATCACGGATCGAAATGTGCTGTATCTGTACCTTGACAAGTTCTACAAACTGTCGGAAACAATATGAGAAAAAGGAGCGGCTCAGGCTGCTCGTATAATCCGCACATTTACTTCACTAACACCCTATCTCATCCACCACTTTGCTCTTCTTCAATAGCGTATCCAGAGAGGAGGTTAGAACGCCCACCCCTTCTCTGACCGAACGTTTTCTTTACTTCAGCTTGTCAACATCCTATGTACACATAAAACTTTACGCCAGAACACATATAAACAAAAAATTGACGGCAGATTCACGAGGTGAATAATGATGGGATTGGGCGAAGCTCTTGGAAGTAATAACGTGCAATTTTCTTCCGTGATTTCGCCTGGCAATATGCGCGCTTCCTCGCCGCTTGCCATTGTCGAACATTTTCAAGATCTGCTTCGCGACGTTGACGTGCTGCCTCAGCCTCTCGTTGCCGTACGGAAGGATCTTGCCGACGCTGACGTGCTGCTACAGCTTCTTGTTCACGTACGGCGGAATGTAGCCGACGCTGCCTTGCTGTTGTGGATTCTTGTTCCCGTACAGCAGGATATTGGCGGCGACGTAACGCAGCTTCCTGGCGCGCTTCTGCCTCGCGTGCTATCACTTCAAGGTCCTGTCTGCGAGCGCGTGCCACCACTGCTTTGCGCGCCCGCCTTTTGGCATCCCTATCCATACGAGCACACACCGACGGCAACGAGCATCGGCAACTACAAATCTGTATCAATATGGTTTAGATTATAAAACAATTGTTTTAGAAAACACCTGGCGTCTTTCGTTAGGCAGCTGGCGTCTTCTTTTTGTTGTGCTTTAGAAACATCTCGCGTCTTTGCGTTTTGCTTTTAGAAAACATCTAGCGTCTTTCGTTTGTTGATTTCATCAATCAACGGTGTTTTGAGCAAATTTTTTTATTGTTTGATCACGCACAGAAGAAATCTCACAAGGCATTACCTTGGAAGTAAACAGTGGCTGCTACCGGGAATGAGAGACAGCAGAAGTCGGCTTTAAACATTTGTACTTCTACTAACGTTTCCTACTGGAACATGCCAATGACTGCGAATGGGGAATGAGGGACAGAAGAATTCGGCTTTTAGTTAACGTGCCCGCAGTGGATTTTTTTATTGTTCAACAACGCGCAAGAGAATTCTCCCACCCGCACCACCTTGGAGGTCAAAGCGTAAGACTGGTTACACACTACGACTATGACTACGAGGGACGAACGGGTGCTGCTATAGGGAGCTTCGCCCCTAATTTGTATCTCTCCAGTCCTCAACAGGACGTTTACCTACACCCGTGCTCCTCTTTCTCTCTTTGCCATCTCTGTCATTCAATCTCCGTTGTGTTCTGCATTCACTTTCATTCATCATTTTGTTTGACAAACGTTTCTTGCGTTACGTCGACTACGAGGACTGGAGACTAACATACACGCACATAAGAACTGTATTCCAAAAAAAAAATTGAGTCAGCTTCGCACTTGGAGTGCATGATCTCAAGGAAGTGTGAGACTGGGCGGCCAGCTTTGTTTCTTTTTCTTATTCTTCACTCATTACTTTTTTCATTGCGCAGGAAAACGTTCCATGCAGGGACAGCTCCACTGACATATTTCTCTCCCGAATATGCCGTTGTACAATATATACCAGGAGACCACAAAGTAAAAGCGACAAAAATACGTTTAGTCGCCGGGTGGCGAAGCTACGACATTTCGCTTACGAGCGTACGGTGCCATACAAGTAGGCCACAAAGCGTACGTTTTACTTTCGTGTTATGCAGACTTGTGGACCCCGGGAGCAGTCACGCTTTTTTGTTTTTACTTATTTCTGTGTTCTCAATCTCTATATTTCTATCTCTTTTTCTCTCAGTCTCTCCTGTTTATTTTATATGGCGATGTTCTTTTCCTTTTTAACATTTTCATTTTTCTGTGCAGTGGTTGCTCTCTCACCTCTTTGCCTTCTCACCATCAATTCCTTCCTAAATATCCTTGGTATAATATACTATATAAAATGGTAAGTGATTTTCCTTTGCGTGTCTCGACAGCCGAGTGGTTCAAATGCTTGAGTACGTGTTCTCGAATCTTGCTACGTAAGGTATTATTTTCCTTAGGTAAGAACTTTCTCTTTTTTAGAAAATTATTTATTTACTTTTTAAGAAACTGTTAAGACCTTCACTAAGAGGGTATTACATAAAGGGGTGGAGTAAAAGAATTATTACAAAGGACACTCAGCACGCATAAAAAATTTGCAAACAAAAACATATGCACAATGAAAAAAAAACAACGTAATAACCCAACGCCTGTTGAAAATATAGAAAAAGGAATAACTAAAAACGCAATGAAAGATAACAAATTTGCATAATGATAGACCACAAAAAAGAAAATGAAAGGAGTTATTGAGAACAAAGAGCACGAAACGCTAACCTTTGATATCATTTCCTAAAGGCTCAATAAATTTCGAAATGTCCTGTTCCATTGCGGTAGTTCGAGGCAGCTGGCTTCATTCAATGATGTTTTATTTTGATGAACGAGTTAGCGAATGATGAGGTACGGCATGTGATGCGTCTGACCTTCAGAGGGTGATCGCGGCGGGAAAAGAATGCTAAGGGGACTGAAAAATTGTCATAACGCATTGAATAATGCTAAGTTTTATGAAAAAGAGAAGCGAAAAAGGCTAACAAGACCAGCACAAGCTTATAAGGCAGTGACGCTAGTGAAACGAGATTGGTCAGAAATGGTTCTACAGGGATTATATGTTATCGATGATGTATGCTTGATCCGTGTCCCATGTTGCTGAAGCGCACTCAATCGTCCTTTCTCACTCTCACGCACCGCAGTTGTTGAAACCCACGGCGCACATATTGGCGCTCGTGTTATGGAACCAAAGCAGAAGTGAACGGGGACGACGACGAACATTGCTCGTGCTGGTTTATTATAATGATGATGGTTTCTTTTTAACGCACTTCAATGTACAGCTGGGGTAAGCAGCTCCGTTGTTGCGATTGTTGGCAGCACAACGCTCCCTCCACCTTCTTTATTTTTGTGTAGCTCAATTTGCACTTCCTTTGCTTACTGATGTGATATTTTGAGCTGGAAGAAGTATTGAAAACGTCTTAAGTCCTAAATAGAACGCCAGCACGTGAGCTCTTTGTGTGGCAGTGTTGTCATACTTTCCTCACGCGTACTCACTTGTGGTCTATGCCAATGCCGTATGCCGTTAAACGGTGACCACTGGCAATGTTCAAGAAGGTCTTGAAGTCAGCGCTGTATGGAGGACTGAGGGTAGTGCCTCCGGCCACGAAGAGGGAGTCGAAAGTGATAAGGTCACAAACGCCGTCCAATGGGTATATGAAAGTTTTAGAGAAGTCAATTGTACCAAGGGTGCACAGCAGTGAGCCAGCCAGCAGAGACTTTCCTGCGAGCGATATAAACAAAACAGACGAAATATAATAGCTTTTCATGGAATTGAAACAATCCCGTAAACCTCTTCAATCCTGTTTGATCGCGCTCTAAGCTAGCACCGATATATTGAATACGTTCATTCATTATGTAAATGAGGATCGATTCATGGGCCTCCACTATCATATTTCGGCATCGTATATGATATCATCACCATGTCAGGTTGCTTGCCATAAAGCAGACTAAACTATCTACAGCATAGTCGTCTTTGCACAGCCGTGTATATCAAGGGGTGGGAAAAGAAAATGAGGTTGAGGAAAAGAAAAAACAGGATGATTAGGGCACGAGAAAAAGAATACACTGTCATCGACAAATACAGCATATTCCTATTGATATATGGTGACTCATCGTGTACTATGACCTTATGCTGCCACTAAGCGTCAAGCAGTCAGAACAATGTATAGGGAAGCGGTGTAGAATTGAAGTGAGGGGAAGAGCAGTGGCATGAGGGCCAGGCAAACAGGAGGCAGGAAAGCATAGCATAGTTTCGCTTGGCTTAACGGAAGCAAAATCATGCACAGCATAGCCGTGTAAAACATGGTATAGTATATTAGAGCAAAGGAAAAAAAACAGCACCGCCATCTGTGTAATCATCAAGACAAAACAACCTTGTTTTGAGTACTTCCTTGATAGGTCCACTAATGAATGTCAATTAATCTTTACTGTTGCGTGTGATGACGTCGCAGTTATGGCACGTTACTTTATGCAATTCTGACCCACACGTTTTGACGATCTGTGGCGTTATGGTGATTTCATCACGAAAGGATTTCTGTCTTCATGAGATATATTGACACCACTGACTGGGTACGACGGTATATTTTCGCATTTTATGACGCATATATTGCTTCAACCTTAACAACCAAAAAGCGTAAATCAGCCTATAATGTATGTCATGTCGTGCACTAAACAAACCAATAAGGACAGATAGATCAGTCCTACCAGGGAAAAAGACAAAATGAATTAGTTGAATTCAATGCCTCACCGCAGATGAATGGTAACGTACTCCACATCATCAGCCTAACTACGCCAACTGCAGAGCAACGGCCTTTCCTGTGATCTGGTAATCCATTCAGTCTTTTGCTTTCTGCTGTCACGTTACACCTGCGAACTTTTTATACTTGAACTTTATTCCCACCTAATTTTCTGTCTCGCCTTCTTGCGTTGGCCTTCTCTTGAACTCCAGCCAGTCACCTTGAATACGTGTTACATGCCCGGCCCATTCTTCTTGGCATCAACTGCAATATCCTTCACACCGTTTGTTCCCTGGCCCATTCTGATCTCTTCTTGTCTCTTGAGGTTACACCTATCATTTTACTTTTCATCGCATGAAGCGTCGTCCTCAGTTGAAGCAGAACCCTCTTAGTAAATCTCCAGGTTTGTGCTCCGTAGGAAGACATCGCCAAGTGCCAGCAAGGTGCAGCTGTTATATACCTTCCGCCTGAGGTTTAGTGGGAGATCGTCTTTCATGCTTTAAAAATACTTGCCAAATGAGATCCTCTCCATCTTTGTTCTTCTTGTTGTTGCTCCGTGGTTACTACAGCGCCTCTGCACCTATCAAAAAGCGCTGTTTTCGGCCGGGACTGTTGCACATTACTTTATTTTTATTGCATATTATTACTGATAACTACTCTTCTGCTTTTCTTTCCTAGTTCAGTAATCATGAGCTGCAATTCAACCCCTGAGTTACGTTACTCGTCAAGGCGATGTCATCAGCGAATCGCAGTTAACCAAGATACTTTCCATTGACTCTAATCTTTAACTCTCCCCAACCTAGTGCTCTGAAAGTCTTCTGAAAACATGAGAAAATAGCATTAGAGAGGTTGTGTCTTTTTGCCTTACACCTTTCTTTGTTGGGATTCTGTCGTTTTTTCATGAAGAACTATGGTGGCTTTGGATCCACTGTACATTTATTCAAGTATATTTACTTAGCGCTCGTTGATGCCCTGATTTCGTATTGCCTGCATTACTGATGGTGTCTCTACTGAGTCAAACACCTTCTCGTAATCTATCAAAGCTATGTATAGGGATTGATTGTATTCCGCGCATTCCTGTATCACCTGATTGATAATATCAATATGGTATCTTGTGGAGTGGTCTGTGCGAAACCCTGCTTGGTCCTTTGGTTTATAGAACTCTTAAATGGCCTAAATTTTTTTAACTATCGTTTTTGTAAATAGTTTGCAGAGAATGGACAAAAAGCTGATCGGCCTGTACTTTTTCAAGCCCTTGACGTCTCCATTCATGTGGGTCAATATGATGTTGGCGTTATTCCAAAATTATGGTTCCCTTGCCGTCAAGAGACACTCCGTATGTAAGGTAGCCAGCTTTCCTAACAGATTTTCTCCTCCACCTTTCAGCAGGTATGCTGTTACGTTATTCTCGCCAGCGGCTTCGCCTCTTAGGATTCTTTTAAATGTGTTCCTTACATCCCTTTCGTAAGTGATAAGATGTCTAGTTTCTCTGGGCTAATATTGCTTCTTGCAACATCGTCCTGACTGTTTAGGCTTTTCTGCAAATCTTTAGAACTCCTCCACCGCCCCGTATATCCTGTCATTGTTTGTTATGACGTTGCCTCCTTTGCCCTTTAATGTATATATCCGATTTCTGCCTATGCACAAGCACGCGTTCACAGCTTTTAAGCTTCTGCCACTTCTTACAGCCTGCTAGATTCTCCTCATGTTATGCCTTTTGGTGTAGGACGCGTTAGGCCTTTTCATTAGCTTCCAAAGGTCCAGTAGCTCTATTTTGTCACTTGTGTTTGAGGCTTTCTTGCTTTGTCACCTCCTAATGACATTTGTGTCTGCAGAGATACTTTTCCAGTGTCCTGTCTAATGACATTACCTCCGACTTCCATTGCAAACTCTTTGATGATTATAGTAAGAACATTGTTCATTGTGTGAACGCTCGCGTAGGTTACCTCGTTTAGTGGCTCAAATCTATTCAGAAGCAAAACTGAATATCTGTACTTTCCATCTCCCCGCAAGCTCAACAATTGGCTTCTTTTGTATCAGTTTATGCCTTTATTTTTCAAATTTCGGTGAATATGAGCTCTTGCTATTCTATAGTCACTCAACAGATTTTGCCATACATATACTACATTTAGAATGCGCGGGTGTGCATACAGAATGAAGCCTATTTCATTTTTGTTTCGCCTTTAGGCCTTCGCCACGTCCACTTACACTTAGCCTGCTTTTTGAAGATCGTATTCTAGATCTGTAATTTATTACGCTCTGTGAATATTACTAATAACTCCTGTCTGACATTTTTACAGCCGATGCCATATTTCCGCACTGCATTGTTTCTGGTCTAATTCTTGCCTACCTTGGCCTTAAATTCGCCCATAAGATTAGTTTACTGTGTCTTAAGTTCATTATGACTGACTCTACGCTTTCAATGAAGCGATCGTATGAACGTAGTGTTGTATTTGCATCATGACTACACGTATGCGCGTATGCCTGTACCACATTCATAATGCACCTTTTGTAAAACCTAATATTATTGTCATCCTTTCACTGACGCTATAGTATTTCTCAATGCTGCGAGCAATATTGTTGTGTATAAGAAACCCCACCTCTAGTTGTTTACTGTCAACTAATTAACGGTAGATTAGGACGCGTCCGTTCTTCAGCACTTCATAAGCCTCACGTGTCCTCATAACTTCGCTGAGCCCCATTACATCCCAATTCACATCCTCTAATTTTTCGAACAACACATCCAGACTAGCTTCACAAGAAAAAGCTCTAGCGTTGAACGTATCCAAGTTCAGATTCAAATTGCGGCCTGTCCGGACCCGGAGATTCTTTCGCACCCTCCGCGGCGTTGCAGGTCCGACCACCACCTTGGACAGTTTCTTCTCAACCGCTGAAAACTGAGGGCAGAGGGTTCATTGGTACCATAAGGGTGGTAGTGGCCAGGTACGGCACTAGAGTGGCCATTCCTGCTCTGTTGAGATAGTTCAATGCCGGCTGGTGATCACCGGTGTGGCTGCACGCCAAACCTCTTTTTTATCGTAACGCTTAGTTTATCACGCGTTTTAAGTAAATATACGATTGGCAATGGTGAAGCATTCGAACCAAATTGTGTCAATGCATGCTAGGGTGCTGCACTATCTCTAAGTAGGGGTTCTGTTGCATTTTCATAGCACTGTAGAATACCACCTGACAGCCTAGCAGACCAACTAGATGCGGTTTAACGCTAGCTCTGGCCCTCTACTGATAGCGCGGGCGCTGCTTTTTTTGTCGTTTTTGCGGCAGTGATCTGCTGCGTTATACTCGTTCTTTAACAGTGCATCTGAATCGCAGTGAACATTGTGTCGGTGCAGTGCGGCCAGCTCGAGATACTAGTCAGAACGCACATTTGTAAAATTTAGGAGCAATATTTAGCGTACCTTCACTGACCTAATGTAGTGAATACTGGTAAAAAAGCTGAGCTGATGTTTTTTGCTTAGCTCTATGGGTCTTTAGCGACTGCACATTCAGGGTCACGCAGACGATGTGTTATCAGCACTGTCATTTCAGTAGAGACATTGCAACATTGCATGCATCGGCCGTCATACTGTTCGAAGAGAACATGTTGCCATGTGCGTACTGGTAGGAAGACGAAGACGACAGCGCATACGCGCATCTGCACGCTTTTATGCAGCAAGCAATAACAAGAAAGAATAGGAACGCTCTGGCGCGCAGTAAATAAAAAATACTGACCTGCTACTACTTTCTCGACCTGTTAATTACTACTTCTGTCTTCACGTTGCGACAATACATTTGTACTTAGCTTGCAGTCCTTGGAACAGGACCACGGCTGAACGGATTTCATCAATGTTGTTTTCTCACTACCTACATAGTCAAGGCTTTGACCTAAGCACGTCTGCTGGGGGAGTTACTTAAATTAAAAGAAGGGGATCCACAGAAAAACGGACAGAGAGAGAACTAGAAAATACGTTTCGGCCCCCCTGAGAAG